TGAGAAGAGGGTCGAACAGAGAGAGGCCTGCAAATAGCGCATCTTCAAACTTGCATACTGGATAACAGATGCGTTGAGAAGAGGGTCGAACAGAGAGAGGTACCAGGCCTGCAAATAGCACATCTTCAAACTTGCATACTGGATAACAGAGGTGGTGGAGGCCATGAGGTTCAGAAGAAGTTGTACTTGGTGGACAACAGCGAACGCCTACGGATGGAAATGCTCGACTAGAGTCGGTATTTTGATTGAACGTGCCCGAGGGAGAAAGGCTCTGGCATGGCGAGAGTTGAGCACTGCACCTATGTAGACTACCCTTTGTGAGGTGGTCAGCACCGATTTTTTTAAATTGACTTTGAGGCCAAGATCCCTTAGAAGAGACAGAGTAACACTGATGTCCCTTAGTGCTTGGTCTTGGGAGTGAGCTACTAGTAGCCAATAGTCTATGTACGGGAACACCGAGATCCCGAGGGTATGAAGATATGCTGCCACCAGAGTCATACAAATGCAAATCGGAACTGTGAAGCTCAATTTCTCAGCACCAAACTCAATCATCTGAATTGGGCCCTACAGGCAAATGGCTATTGCAAGAATGAAATCACAAGAGCCATCAAACCAAGAAAATGACACCAAACTGAAGAAAAACAGCCACCCACAAATAAAGTATTTCTGCTATACATTAAAAGGGCCATGGACCACATGGGGAAACTTTTGAAAAAACACAGCCTACAAACAGTATTCAGATCCACCACAAAAATACAACAAATGTTACAGTCAGCAAAGGACAAAAGGGACCCCCTCACCATTGCACGAGTATACTGGATACCTTACAGTTGTGGCCAGGTATATACTGGGACCACAAAACGCAGCATCCACACCAGAATCAAAGAATATGAGAGACACTGAAGACTAAAACAACTGGAAAAATTGGCAGTAGCTGAACATGCCCTGAAACAAACTGGACTTGAAAGTCTATTTCAAAACACAGAACTGCTGGACAACACCAGCAATCATGATGTTAGATTACACAGGAAATCCACTGAAATCCACAAACTCCAGCCAAGCTTCAACAAAAAAGAAAGTCTAAAACTCAACAAAGCCTGGCTCCCGGCACTGAAAAATACAGCCTGCAAATGGTCAACGAATCTACCCAGCCACAAGGTCTGGTGATCACTGCATACAAGAGACTAGCTAACGACAGTTGGATCTTCCAATGTCTCACAAGTCGCCATCTATCACAGTGACAGATCATCTCCCCCCCTTATCACAACAATACCCCCATAACAAAAAAACACCCTGATCACAAAAATCACCTAATCTCCTGAAAAGGACAAAAAACTGATCCCACAGCTATAAATACTCAACTATCCCACACACTACACCAGAACACAGAGTTCTAACTCCTGTCCTCTGAAGATGCCAGCCACCGAGACTGGTGAAATGTTAGGAAGAAAACCTTCAAGACATGGTCAAACAGCCCGAAAAACCTACAACAAACAATCAGACTTATTGTTCTGAAAAACTAGTGGTTCAGGGCTTAAAAGCGGATGTTCATTATGACAGAAGATAATAAAATTAGGAAATATAGCAGTGCAGTAACTTACTACCAACCTACAATCTGGAAATGTCTCAGGTGTACTTTAGTAAAGGATGAACAGAAACTTAAAACAGAACATCCTACCCTGGAACACAGCAAGCTCCAGGTGCCTGACTCAAAAGTATTCCTTATTCCCCCCAAGTTACTATTTTCATAATTTGAGAAAGCAAACCCACAGGAAATAGGCTCTCTTATTCCATGGTCACTTGTGGGCTGCTGGAGTTAAAATTAATCCAACTAAAAACTTGTTTACTTGCACATAGGATAATTTTGTGCTTTTGGTGAACTACTGGAACTAGCTACGCCTTTCCTGCCACCCAAAATAAGAACTCAGAGAGATCTGTGGGAGTACCTTTAGTGAGACTACTGCAGTGCCAAATACCCTTGGACGGAAGCTCCAAAAACTAGAAATAGTACAATAGGTAGACAACAACACTTAGGTTCAAAACGGGAAAACTTGGATGGGTTTGAGGGGCTAATTCTATGCCCCTGGGATCTTCCAATGTCTCACAGGTCGCCAAAAATGCCAAACACCCTCCAAAAAGCAAAAGCATTTAACTGCCTAGATGTTCATCTTTGGTTTTGAAAATGCTTATTTTTTTAGTTTAAATGATACAGAGTTACTATGAGACATCTAAAATATGAACTACCATTTCTGAATGCTTCTGGCATTAGAAAACTCATTAGAAGACTTTAAAAAAAAGAGGGAGCAGGGGAGTACAACAGGCTTCAAAAATATTTTTATATACTCTTCGCTCACCTCTGTTCTGAAGTTCTGGAGAAGAACTATGTCAATTCAACATTCAGCACAATTTCTACCAAGAAAAATATTTTAGTGCAGGAAGCCAACTTAGAAGCATCTGTCCCAAGCATCTCATTCTGAGCAGCAAAGAAATGTACACAAAATATGAGAGATGCTTTGTAAACCAAAGCTATGTACCTATCTGAAAGATTTTCAGCCTTCATACTGCTATCCTAGGAGGGTTTCCATGAATTTGCCAAAACTGAGGCACCTCTAGATAAAAGACTGCAACAGAAGAACAAACTGTCAGTACACCACTGAATCTGGCCACATTATGCCTTGGCTTTGGGCATCTGGTACAGAGGTTTTTGGGTCACGTCCTGTTTGAATTCTCCCTCTAAGGCAACACCTTGATACTCTACCTTGAATCTTTTCCGCTCTCTAAGTCACTATAACTGGGCACAGATGCTAAAACCTCTACATACAGCACATTAAGACAGAAGGGGAGCATAACAGACTTCCAAGGAAAGTAATGCATGCCACTAAGACCTAGAGGAAGAGTCTCTTATCAGGAAGTTAACAGGCCATATTACAATCAAGCTGACAACTTGCTTGCCTGTCACTAACTTAAACATTAAGAGTATTGGAGAAGAGGAGAAATCTACCAAGGGCGCTTCCTTTGCATAAGCTGTCCCACTGACACAGCTATGTATACATGCTTTCAAAATAAATTTCCATCCCTGGAAGGGAGAATATAAGGCAGTATTAATGCCTTGGCTCAGCAGAGAAGCTTTCCAAGAGCCATAACATTTAAGAAAAAAACAAAAAATGGGTGTGTGTCCCTTTGACTAGACACAATGATGAAGAATAGGTAACACTCCTGATCTTGCTTTTAGACAAAGTGGCTACCATGTGTTCCCAGAATGGTTTGTACTACAACTCTTATCATCCTTAACCACTCTTATGTTGGATAGGGTTCTTGAAAGTTGGAGTTCATATTAGGGAGTGGGATGAGTGGAATTAGAAGTATCAAATCACAATGGATCCTAGGATGGGAGAAAGGAGAGATGGGGAAAAGGTGATATGGAATAACATAACTTAGCCATGCCACAATCTCTTCTCATTTACTCAGACAAATGATTAACAAGCCATAGGTGACAGTATTATACAAATTGCTAGGAGCTCAAAATGAATGCCACTGAAAGAGTTTTTTTTTTAAAGGCTGTCACATTTCTGTATACCAGCAAGCAATTAGGCAAGAAGTCTTACAAAAAGAGATATTTCAAAAGCCAAGTCAGAATATTTGGGTGGGCATGTGACTCCACAATCTTGCACCATCCCCAATGTATCAAATGTTATGTTCAAAAAGGATCTTGCAGAAAGCTTCTCCATAACATAATGTTCTTTTCCTGGTTCCATGTTATCTCTAAAACCAGAGAAACTCTCCAAGTAAATCGTGTTGAAAGTGATGGCAATTCCCACTCAAGTTTCACAAGGATCAGTGCCTCCTTCGGAATCAGGCTCCTCAGCCTCACCTCCTGACTCGTGCGGGAGATCCGAGTAGATCTTGGTGGGAGCAGGCGCTCTGCCAAGTATCGAGGTTCTAAACCGTTTAGGGCCTTATAGGTAAGCATTACAATTTTGAATTCAATGTGGAAACGGATGGGCAGCCAGTGCAGCATGGTCAGAACAGGAGAAATATGTTGGTGTTTTCTCAACTCCAGTAAGGAGTCTGGCCGCTGCATTCTGCACCACTTGAAGTTTCCGCATCAGCCTCAAAGGCAGCCCCACGTAGAGCGCGTTACAGTGGTCTAATCTTGAGATTACGAGCGCATGTACCAAGGTAGTGAGCGCCCTCATGTCAAGGTAGGGTCGCAGCTGGGCAATCCGCCAAAGGTGGAAAAAGGTGGAAAACTACATAACGAATCTCCTTTAGCATTTTCTGCATGCGAATAATTTTAAAATAATTTGTCAATCCTTTAAATTATCCTAAACAGTAAAATATCATTCTACTCATTTATGGATGAGGAACAGAATAACAAGTGTGATGGATCCAGCCCTGCCACATGATAAACAATAGATATGAAAGACAGACATACCTTGGACAGTGTTGGAGGAAAAAGAACATATGTATTTGGTCCTCAGAGCTAAATGTTGGAAGCAACTGCCAGTTTTTCCCCTCAGAGTATGACACATGCTGACTTTATTAGTTGATGCTACTAGATCCTTCCCTATATTGTTCCACTTTTGTCTTATACTCCACTATTGCTATAATATTCCACAGTACTTTATGTACCATTGTGTTATTTCCTCAGTTGTTTACTGCATCCTTGATAGCTTGTGCTTCCCCTCAGGCAGGTCTGCTGGGTATTTTAACATGTAATGCCATGCATTTCTCTGGATTCTTTAGCTGCTTTGAATTGTTGCAATTCATGTATTGTATAATAAATGTCATCTGCTTGTAGGGTAGTTACTTGTCAGAACTTGTTAATTTAATTTCAGCTTTGTTAATTTCACTTCCTTTGGCAATATTTAGTTTTCCTTTCGCAGAATTAAATTTTTAAGAGAATCTGAATTTTTAATAGTACCCTATATGGCTTTTGTTAAAAGGCTAATTACAATTTATAAAGCAGAAAGCATTTGAACAATTATTAATAGTCTTACCTGACTCTGAAGCTCACTCTGCTGCTTCAGACGCAGGTTCTCTGGAGTGTCTGCCACCATAGTGAATGACTGCTTTGGATAGTGTCTGCAAACAGAACAAATGAGGCTGTGTTAAAAATAACCACTCTTTATACAGTTTAGTCAATAAAAAGCCACAGAATCCATACAGGAAGCCAATATTATCATAGCTGCTATCCATACCACCTGCTCCTAAATCAACTACTCCTAAACAGTATACCTGAGTGCACTAATCAGCTCTACAGAATAACTCCATCTATTTGCTTTCTCCCGTTAAAGTTGTTTGGGACTGCAGTATAACAGAAAAATGTAAATGAAAACACTTACACTCACCCTGTGAGCTCAATGTGTTAAGATACTAAATTTTACATGTGTAGAGTGTTAAAATAATTAAGCTGGGTACAGAAAAAGCTCTGAGAATGTTTGTTGTCCTTTAAAAAATAAGGTATGAACAGCAGTTTTAAGTAGCTGCAAAACAATCAGCCAGATCTCCAACCAGGTCCAGAAGCAAGATACATAGACACTGCCTTGCAAAACAATTTCATTCATACCCAACAGTGCAGTGTGAAACTAAAACAAGGGAGAGAACTAACAGTGTACTAAAATAATTTGTAATTTGTAAAATGCTGCAATGTGTTAATATGATCAGAGTTGGTGTTTTCAGGTCCTATAATCTGCACCCTCTGTAATTACGATACTTTGGTTTTACAGTACCGGTGTAAGTGATCCTTTATTTTACAAGCCTTTTATTCCTCTAGGACAGTGTTTCCTAAGTTTTTTTGAGTTGCAACCCCTTTTATAATAGCTAAATGTGGCGTGGCACCCACCATATTTGCATAAAAAGGCATTTTAATGGGGTAAAGAACAGACATTAAAATTGTGCTGAATTTTTCAGAATATAATTCTAGCCTAATACACTTCTGTTAATGTAATAATAAATAATTATGGGAGAGGCTGTAAATCTTTGAGAAGGAAAAAAATTCAGTACAGTTTCAGTTTAATTTACCCTTTTGGGTTGTGGAAACAACCCTCCCTTCATGTCTCTCCATCCAAAACAGCCGCCTCAATGAAGAGCCCCTCCCCCTCAAGCCTAAATAACCCCCCCACTTCCCTCCCTGGTTCTCCTCCCACACCTTTTTATACCTCTTGCTTTTCTCCTCCATGACTCAGGTGTGTGTTCTTAATATATTTAGAGGCTAAGAAAGTCATTTTAAAATATATTCGTATTTTAAAGAACTTTGATATTTTAAGAGATATATTTTGAGCTTTTTATATGTGCCTTTTTAGGCTATAGGCTCCTGCATTTTTTGAATATAATAAAGTATTTTTAATATTTTATCACCCTTTTTAGGTTCATGTATTTTGAATTGCTTTCTGTTTAAGTACTTATGATTACAGTTTTTCCGTAACTAAGACTTTTGGATGTTTCCAATAATTTTTGTACTTATGAAACATAGAAGCAATGTAGATAAAGCCTGTAGGATTATATAAGCAGATGTTGTCCGGAATTATTGCAACAATGAAAAGACTTATACCTTGATACCCACACAAATTCTGATATGGTTGGAAATTATTCTCTCATTTCATTCTTGACTTAACTGCTTTGGGATACATGTCAGCTGCGACAAACACATGTTCTGATTTTTCCCTGGAGGTCTTCAAATTTTGTAGGATTCTTAGGGAGATGGTCAGGCTGACCTGACAAATTAATTATGTTGGCTACAATATGCCAAAATTTGGTAAAATGGGGAGAAGAGCATTTATATACAGTGGTGCCTCGCTTTACGATTGCCCTGCATTACGACAAATCCGCTTTAGGACAATCTTTTTGCAATCGCAATTGCGATCACAAAACGATGATCTAAATGGGGGAATTTCACTTTGCGATGATCGGTTCCCTGCTTCGGGAACCGATTGTTTGCAAAACAATGATTTTTAAATAGCTGATTGCCAGTTTCAAAATGGTCACCGGGTAACTAAAATGGCTCCCCGCTGTGTTTAGGGATGGATTCTTCGCTATACAGGCAGTGAAAATGGCCGCTGTATGGAGGATCTTCGCTGGACGGTGAGTTTTAAGCCCATTGGAATGCATTGAAAGGTTTTCAATGCGTTTCAATGGGCTTTTTATTTTCGCTTTACGATGTTTTCGCTTAACAGCGATTTTCCTGGAACGGATTATCGTCGTTAAGTGAGGCACCACTGTACTCCTGGTCACACATAGTGTTGTGAATAGTATACTTTGGTTGCATGTACCAAATACTGTCTGTTCAATTGTATTTTCCAAAGGAAATTAAAAACAGACTTAAAAACATACTCAAATGTAAAAGCCATAAGCTATTGGTTACCTTACAGACGCTCCAGGCTACTCAAAAGGCAAGTCAAATCAGTCCAAAACATATACCTGCTTTCCCTGTCGCTGGCCATCAACTGAGATCAGCAATTGAAAACAACAAAACCCTAAGCTTAGCAGTACACTGGTTCAGGTGGAGAGGAAGAAGGGAGCTTTATGTGCAGAACTATTAGGAGTATCATGATTCTACTCCAGTATTGTTAATTTTGCTTTCATAAGCATGAAAATATCCACTGTCCATTTCTGAAAAATAAAAAAGCCAACAAAGACAGCTCAAAAAAGGGCCCTGCCTCACATTTATCAGGTTTGCATGGCCAATAAGGAATCCACTTCACATTTAATCAAGAAAGAAATAATCTTTAAGTGCACTGTCTATGTGTTACTCTGCCAGTATGATTTTCACCAAAACTGCAATGTTCATAAGATTTCCTTTCCTAGCAGCAACTTTTTTTTTGGCAGTGCACTTGTTCCATTATGTTGCAAAGAGCCACGCAGTCTTCAGGTGGAAATTAACTGGAAGTAGAAAGCTTTTGCATGAATGTATACAATGCAAAAGTCTCTACATACAGTGGTGCCTTGACTTACGAAATTAATCCGTATTGGACCGGTGGCCGTAACTTGAAAATTTCGTAAGTCGAAGCACCATTTCCCATAGGAATGGATTGAAAACCGATTAATCCGTTCCGGCCAAAGGAAAAAAAAATCCGAGCTTCCAAAGCTGCACCCGCTGCCCTCTGCCTCCCGTCCCCGTGGGGACAGGAGGGAGAGGGCAGCAGGGACAGGAGAGGGCAGCGGGTGCAGCTTTGGAAGCCTGGGAAGCCGAAAGCTACCCCAACTTCTGCACTGGCTTCCCGGGAGTCCAAACCCCCTCTGCTGCCCTCTGCCTCCTGTCCCTGTTGCCCTCTGCCTCCAAAGCTGCTTCCAAAACTGCACCTGCTGCCCTCTCCCCTCCTGTCCCCGCTGCCCTCTCCCCTCCTGTCCCCATGGGGACAGGAGGCAGAGGGCAACGGGGACGGGAGGCAGAAGGCAGCCAAGGGGTTTTGGACACCTGGGAAGCCAGCACCAGCGCGGAGGTTGGGGCAGCTTTCGGCTGCCCGGGCTTCCAAAACTGCACCCGCTGCCCTCTGCCTTCTGTCCCCGCAGGGACAGGAGGCAGAGGGCAACAGAGACGGGAGGCAGAGGGCAGCGGAGGGAATTTGGATGCCCAGGAAGCCGGCACCCAGTGTGGTAGTCTGGGTGGTGTTGGAAGCCCGGAAGGCTGAGCCTCCCTTTTCCTAACCGTTGGGGCAAAGAAGCAGCCTCTTCACCACCAACGGTTTGAATTCCCCGCCTTTTTGTTTGTACTTTTTTATTTGTAATTGGAAGCTCTGGCCGCAAGTCGAAGCAAAATTTTGTGGCCAGAGCTTTCCGTAACTTGAAGTTTTCATAAGTAGAGACGTTCATAAGTCGAGGCCCCACTGTACTCCAATTAAATGCAGATAAAGAAACACAAACACAGAGATCCATATTTTCTGGAAAAATTGATGCAAGTTACCTGATTTCTATATAAGTGATTACCAATCTTACTACTATTGGACAACATAAGTAAATTAAGGTTCTCTTGATTAAGGAGCACAGCAGTAATTGCTTAGATGTGCAGTGTCACCATATGTAGAATACTTTTCAAAAGCAAAGCTTTAACTTCAGAAATGAATGACAACCTTCTGCCACTTATAGCTGCAGGAGCAACTTTGAGAATTAGGCCACTGCTCAGTGAATTTATGACTAAATAAATACGACTCCATGACCACCTAGCAGGTGCTTCAGTGCCCTTCCATGTAACTACTGAAAGCCAAACAAAGAAATGTATAATGGTTGTTCTGGGTTTTTCGGGCTCTTTGGCCGTGTTCTGAAGGTTGTTCTTCCTGACGTTTCACCAGTCTCTGTGGCCGGCATCTTCAGAGGAAGAACAACCTTCAGAACACGGCCAAAGAGCCCGAAAAACCCAGAACCACCATTAGATCCTGGCTGTGAAAGCCTTCGCAAATATAAAGAAATGTATACATAGCTGCATAATTTTTAAGTTACAGGAAGAAAAATCAGAGGGCTTCCCCCTCAAAATGTGATAGTCACAGAGCTGCTTGGCCTAATGATTTCGTTTTTCAGAATCAGGAAATCTTGTTTTTCCATAAGTCATATCAGTGAAGTCAGATTTGCTTGTTTAGTGTATGAAGATTCGTTGCTTTCTCCTGAGGAACAGTAGCCTCCATTAGATGGATGAAAAACCTGTTATTCTGGAGATACCTGTACTCAGGATCAGGGACAACTCAAGCTTCGAGATTTCAAGTTCACTTTGAAATCCAATACTATTCATCCTGGGTGTGAACTAATAAATCCAACAGTGAATGAGGCAATGAATGGTTCTTTAAAAAGGCACTGGATCTGAATGTACCCTCACCCCCTGACAGGATCCTGTGCAATCTGAATCCCCACAAGCTAAAAAAAAAGAGGGAATGTGAAAAATGTTGTGATGACAAATCAATTATCAAGAGTTATCAAGTTCTTGTAGCCAAACTATTCATTGTTCTAACTTCTCCACCAGAGAGTACTATCTAGTAGTACCCATAGAACTGAAGCACTAGCCACAGCAGGGAGAAGGAAAAATAACGAAGTACATTTAGCAAAAAGGAAGGAAACTTAAGGTTAAAATTAGATGTGACTCCTCTGAAAGGCCAGCA